TTTCTCATGCTGACATAAATGTGAGAAAATGTTATCCAGTTTGTATGTTAATGGAAATTATTGCTTTGCCTTATCATCACCATTACAAATGATTAATTCGACGCGAACGAAGTCGCTGGTACACGCTAGTATTTAATTATATTATTAAGCATTTACCAAAACAAAAGTGTATAAACTAACAAAATGCTCATTGAAATTGATAACTGTAATGAAATGTCACTTGTGCAAATCTAATACTGCTGACAAAGGCAAAAGAGGATACTTAACATTTTTTCAACGGTCCCTAATTTCCCCTTTAAGTTCTGTCCGTCTGTCCAGAGAATCAGGAAATGTTTTAGAACAAACGACATCCCCCCCCCCCCATACAATGACATAAAATACAATTTCCCTGCGAATTAAAATGACGGACAACTCTGACTCTCTAGTTTTGATTCACTAGTTAGACAAAATTTACATAAAAACTTGTTATTTACTTTTTGAAGTATGGATTTTGTTCGGATTTCAGAGCTGGAAACCACTGAGATGCTGGTTGGCGTTAGATTGTGCTACATTAATTTTAATATTTTTTTCAAAGACTATTTTTTCGGATTTTACGAAATATAACTATTCTTATTGTTAAATGAATTATTAATTTTCTGTTTCCTTAATTTTTAATACAAATATTTTTCTTTATCTAAATTCAATTTTGGATAATAATAAAAACATATATTTTCATTAAATATATTTAACTACTTACAAGCTATAATCAGTCCAAATTAAGATGATCGTGCTGTATTAAAATCTAGTCTCTTGCTGAAAACAATTTTGGTTTATTTATAGGTAACTTGTATTAGCATTTCAATGATATAGTTAGGGTTTGGTTTGCCGCACATGGGGTGGCTTATGGACCGTGTCTTCGTCCCATATGGATAGGGTGTTGGTGATTCTTACACCCTACTGTTATTTGATACTTCATATAAAGGGTATTAATGATGTTGCTGTCGCAAGTGCAACTGCATTGTGTTATTGAAAACAAATTAAGAGAAAACTAATATCTTACAATAAAAAAATGCTCATCGTTGCATCGTTATGTTTTCGTTATCTGCTGACGACGCCGACGTGCTGGTCTTGCATTTGCTCATCACTATTTTTAATATGTTTTTCAAAGTTTAACATTGGGTCACTCTGTATAAGGCGTTACATTTTAAATAACCAAATTCACAACAGTTCCAGTATAACCGTAAACATTGCGATCTTGAATTGATTTCTCTCTTTTCACAGGCAGTCTTTTATAATTTTTTGTTCTAAAACATTTTATACCGATTGACTAATTAGTACGAGGAAGTCCAATATTGTCGTCGTTGACAAAAATATTATGAAAAACAGATGTTGTTACAGATGCATACAAAAAACACTATATCCGAAAAGTGGTCAAAAACTGGAGTGAATATAACTTTATTAACACTTATCCATATTTTCCTAAACACCAAAGATAACAGAATAAAACCGAGAAGGAAAATTAACATAATCCTATACAGAGTGTTTTTTATGGTATCGCAAAATTTGCAATACTTAAAAAATACTATATCTCTATTTTTATAAATGCAACACCCTGTATATTAGTTTTCTTTTAGATGCAGAATTAAAAAATGAGCATTTTTTGTATTTAAAATATTCCTAAATTTTTAGCGGTTTTGCAGATATTCGTTGTTTTATATTACATATGGTATTTTCAACGGTAAAATACAAGACATAGATCACTAGATGGTTTAGATTAAATTAATTTGATAAAAATATACTGTTAAAAGAGCCATATGTAATAAATTAGTGCGAAACTGTTTAATAAAATAATTGTTAAAGGAGATGTGTAATATATTTCTGAAATAAGAAAATAATGTGCTATCTAATAAACTTCTACCGGGTGGTAATCCCATGGAAATCCCATGCAAATTTTAAACTGTTTAAAAATTGGATCCCCTACTGATTTTATAGCGAAGTGGTAAATAGATTTTTAAAGGTCTACGTTTGAGAAATACACATGCCAAATTTGAACAATTTTGGACAAGCCAATTTTGAGTAATTTGAGAAAAACTGTATCTATTTTTAAATTAAAACTGCAAAAAAAACAGGTAACAAACAAACACCAGTCAAAAACCGACATACCTTAAGTTGTCCTTAATTTTAATAAAATTTTAATATTCAGTACTAGTAATAATTTACTAGTAAGTAAAAAAGTTAATTTAGTTACTACGCGGGAAATAGTTTAGACAGTGCATCTGACATGTTTCGGTTAATTTCCCCTGAATATTTAAATTACTTTTGACTCAATTTGAAATCAAGTGATTCCTTATCATTTTTTAAAGTTTCTCCGTGTAATATTAAATCATCCTGCGTAGTTAATTGCGGCATTATCACTAGAAAATTTTTATTGAAACATACATTTTATTATCTACTTATTTTGATTGCCAAATTTGAACAATTTTGGACAAGCCAATTTTGAGTAATTTGAGAAAAACTGTATCTATTTTTAAATTAAAACTGCAAAAAAAACAGGTAACAAACAAACACCAGTCAAAAACCGACATACCTTAAGTTGTCCTTAATTTTAATAAAATTTTAATATTCAGTACTAGTAATAATTTATTGTTTATACACATAAAGAAAACAGAGCATGATAAAATGATACTACGCGGGAAATAGTTTAGACAGTGCATCTGACATGTTTCGGTTAATTTCCCCTGAATATTTAAATTACTTTTGACTCAATTTGAAATCAAGTGATTCCTTATCATTTTTTAAAGTTTCTCCGTGTAATATTAAGTCATCCTTCGTAGTTAATTGCGGCATTATCACTAGAAAATTTTTATTAAAACATACATTTTATTATCTACTTATTTTGATATAGGTATGCGATCGTCCATTTTTCCACTTCTTTAAAAAATCTCTAAATTAAGGAATAATAATATAATTTTGAAGGAATAATTTTCTCAGTCTGAAAGCATATAGGTATTTTAAAATAATTTTTTGAGTGTTGAAGTATTGATAAATAGGTTGCCTTTTAAGTTTTTTCCATCGCTTGTTTCTTCGGTTATACTGGACACGTCGCAACTGTTCCATTAGATGATCGAAGAATTGTTAATGCCCAATAATAATCAACAATTTGTTTGACAGCGGTCTTTGATGAAATAAGGAAAAAGAACAAAAAACATCGCACCATTCGTCATCACGACAATGCCAGCTCCCACAAAGCACGTCAAACAACTGAATATTTGAAGGAGAAAAACATGGAATTAATGTCTCATTACCCATATTCACCCAATTTAACGCCTAATGACTTTTTCTTGTCACTGTTAAACAAAAAATGTGCGGGCAGTAAATTTCATTACCTCAAGAAGCTGATGAAGACTTTCAAAACCATTTTCTACGATATCAGCTTCGCCGAGTGGAAAAAATGTTTTCAAAATTGGTTTGAGCGTGCGCAAAAATAGATAAACCTTAAGGGCGAATATTTCAAAAAGCAATAAAACACTTTGTTTCTGTTTCACTTTTTGTAAAAACTTAAAAGGCAACCTACTTATTATATCCACTTATAAAAGTTTATGCAAAAAACATGTGCCATGTGCTAATTTACACACTATCGCAATAAATTAATGCATTAATTTATAAAAATAAGTAGTTTTTCTTACTATACAGGGTGTTTCAAAAAACATGTGCCGTCTCTCGAAAAAATAAGATTTATTTTTCGTATCAACATGGGTATCCGATTCTGCTTTGTTTCTTTGTTTTTTTCGATTTAATATAATTTTCTTCCAAGTGCTTTTAGCGATGGAGAATGAAATTTGGAGGGTAAAAGTTACTATAAATGATACATATTTTAATGTTAGAAAACTTTCGACATATTTACCAGAGACGTGCATACGAGTTATCACCTGGAATATTTTTCTAAAAAAAAATATGTGCGTTACTGCCTTTTTTCGTTTTATTAATAAAACTGTGTAAAACGTTAAATACTGATTAAAAGTTGCCTCTTGATATTTTGTCGATTTTGGTCTACTTGATGAGATTAACGCAATTTAATTAATTTGCCTTAATCTAGTTTTTTAATAGTACCTTTAAAAAATTTTAATGTCATTAATTTGCCAAAATGTTAAATAAGTACTCATTTATTTCTCATCAAAAAATATGAAAAAGAATTCCTATAAACATAAACATGGCTGCGGAAATGCATAGTTGTAATCTGTGGTTATAATGTTACAGCCATGTCACAGATTATATTGTTGCCATGTCAAAACTTTTAAAAATATATAGGTACAACTTTTAATAGACATTAAATTGCCTACACAAATTTGCTACTAAAAAGAAAAAAAAACTCAGTAGCGCACATGTTTTTTTAGCAAAATATTCCAGTGAAAACCCATATGCATTAAAATATATGTAGACCTTTAATGAATCGCTAAAAGCACATTACAATAAATCGAAAAAAAATGAAGACTTTAACTTCCTGTAGTAACCTTTTATTTGAATGATTCAAAAATCATGAGCGGTTTAACTAATACGGCAAAATTCGGTATGTGTTGACGATTTTTTATACGAATATGACTTTTCCTTGGCGGCTGCCATAAATCACATATTTGCCGGCAATAGTTTCGGATAAACCTTTTTTATTATTTTTTATTTAAATTAATTATAGGTGCAATATGTAATTTTTGGTAATACGTATTATAACTTGACTACGAAACCTATACTTTGATCTATAATAAATGTTCTAACTCAAGAAACTACAACCGGAGCTAGATTAGTTATTTTTCAACTCAACTACATTAAAACGAATTAAAAAAATGCAATCCGAACGGAAAATCACTTATTATTTATTTCGATTCTAACGCAGTAGCATTTGACAAAAAAAATACTTCATATTTTTTTAGATGTTTATATCTGTGGCGAAATACCCAGTTTTCTCCAGAAATAAATCCGCAACAGAGGTATAAACATTATTTATTAATAATATTTTTTCCACCCACCTCAATTCCTTTTTCGGTTCTCTAACTTTCTTCTGTGTGTCCCCCGAACAGGCCACGTTTCTAAACTTTTTCTTCATTCATCATCATCATCGGTTATTTTGCGTTAAGGCGCGCGATTAATCGGTGGCGGTGCGTAAAGGGCCCCGGTGTCCTGCGCCCCACGGTGCTCGGCTACTGAGGGCCACCGCGACGGGCCGCTCTCGAAGGAAGACGGTTTGGCCGGCGTCGCGTGCCGGAGTCCTTCCAGGTCCGCCCCTCGCTCGGGCAGATGGACGCCAGGGCCGGCATCCATGGGCCCAGATTTGGCGGTAATGGCTTTAAACAAGCGGTGCCTAAAAAGTGTGAATTTATGGTTACTTCTTATTTCAGATAATAGTCCTATAACACTAGTCCTGAAAACCGGGGGTGGATACATGAATATACAGGCTGGTCCAAACTGTATTCCGGAAACTTCGGCAGCATATTCTGCAGATAAAAATATGTAAAAAAGTTCGTATAAATGTATGTCCTAAAATGCTTAGTTTCGGAGATACAGGGTATAGAAGTTTCATTTTAATTTCGATTTTTTCTAAATAATTTCTGAAGTAACATCAATTTTTGGATGAAAATTGGTGTCTGGGAGTTTTTTGACATGAGAAATTTGATTTTGATGTCAATATGACTCCCTCTTTGTAGGGGGCGCCACCTACATGTATTTTAACTGTTTTGAAGAGTAATAACTTTTCGCCCGTACCTGTATAAAATTACTTAGGGAAAAAATATACATTTCCTTTTATATTTTAGTGATTTTCTACGTAAAAAATGTCTCTTGGTAAAAATCGCTATGAACAACAGTTCTCAAGATATTTAGAACGGGACAGTCAATACATGTCATTATTGACAAAAAATTAATGTGTTGAGTACCTCTATAGATAGTTATTTGACTGAAATGATAAATTTGGGATTTTTTTTAAAATTAATAATAAATTTTTCTTCAAATTTTTTCGATGATAAAACAGTTTCTGTTGAACTTTTGACACAAAAACAATTATGACTTCAGTCTAATAACTACTTAGTCAATATGTTTAATTTATGTCAATGGTGACAGGTATTAATAATTTCGATTCCGAATATCTCGAAAACCATTACTCGTAGCGATTTTTACCAAGAGACATTTTTTACATAAAAAACGTCGTGAATAAATATTTTTTTTACTCCATAGTTTTATACAGGTACGGACGAAAAGTTATTACTCTTCAAACCAGTTAAAAAATATGTAGGTGGCGCCCTCTACAAGTAGGTGTCATGATGACATCAACATCAAATGTATCATGTCAAAAAACTCCCAGACACCAATTTTCATCCAAATATTGACGTTACTTCAGAAATTATTTGAAAAAAATCGAAATAAAAATGAAACTTCAACATCCTGTATCTCCAAAACTAAGTATTTTAGGAGCTACATTTATACGAACTTTTTTACTTGTTTTTATCAGCAGAATATGCTGCCGAAGTTTCCGGAATACAGTTCGGATCACCCTGTATATTTAGGGCGGGCCCAAATAAAAAGTAATGTACATTATGCTTTTTAGGGCGCCATTTTTAATCCAAAAGCCTAATATGCAACCCAATTTATAGATTTTCGGGGGGACGGGCCCCTTGGGACCTCTCTGTATCCGCCACTGCTAATAACTTAGGCTTATTTGTTTAAAGAGATGCCCTGTTCAAACTCTCTTACCTATTTAAGAATCTTTTAGTGTGAGCTTGTGACCAGCTTTAGTGTGAGATTGTTACATTTCATATGTATGCTTCGGGTAATTTAAATTTTTAAATATAGTTCAACTCCTTTAATCGGATCATCCAATAGCCTCCTATACACCGAAAGATCCGTCCTGCGGACCCGGCCTTCGGATGAAATCTTTGCATTTCCTGCCGAAGCAAGTCTTGGGCAGGTCAAGACTTTGACACGCTAAGCCTGTCACAGGCCAATTCCGCAGAGTTGGCCTATGAGATTAGATTTGTCTAAAAAAAAGGGAACGAAGGATAACGTAGGTGGACTTGCAACGCGCTTTCTTTCTAAGCGACAGTTTCTACTTCAATAAACATTTATTTATATAAGAACTGTTATTAGAAGTTAGATTAAAATGTCGAATTTTGTCCAAAACGAGAATATTTAATCGGGCAAAGATCTAATCGGCAGGCCAGGTTCGCAGACCAAAATACGAGAGTTTTGGTACAGGCCAAGTCCGTAGGCCACGTCTGTCTGTATATGAGAGGCTAATAATAGCAACAGCCTGTGATGTTATAGTCGGAACGCTACCTCCATAATCGGAGGTTGGAATCCTAGTCAAGGCGACTTTTTTTAATCGTTTTTTTTAATACATACATAATTTTACATATTTATTTTTACTTTTTACATATTTATTATTGATTTATACAATTTTTAGTAATGTGTTTCTTCATTTTTTTTAATTTACTTATACGCGCATTCAAAATTTCAGCTAAATCGGAAGAAAAGTTTATAATAATATAGTGTCTAATGTTGTATAGATAATGAATGGTACGGAACCCTTCGTGCGCGAGTCCGACTCGCACTTGATCAATTTTTTTTAATATTTTAACCATACAGTTTTTTTTTCACAATATAATATCTACAATATGCAGTGTGTACCATACAATCGAAAAAAGCAGCGTCAAAAACGACTGGAGAATGACAATCGATGACAATTTTGGCGAGGCCAAGCCCTAGACGCCAAGCCCTTACTGTCTTAAGCAGGTTATAATTTATTTTTATATTGAGTAAGATTATTTTTAAATTTTTTGAGGAAAAATAATATTATGGAAATAAATTTGTATATCTGGAAACGTTGTATCCTTTTCTTAACCTTTCTATAAGTAGTGTTATTTTTTCTATCGAACGAAGAAGAGCTGGATTTCGTTTAGGTAGAATTAGATTCTTGAGATAAGAACTAATGTTAGTGTTAGGGAGTTACGACCCGACCATTTTTTTTCAGGGCTTGAAAACTGTTTTCGCAATAATTCTACCCCAAGCCGGGCCTGCGTCCCCTATACGTTCCCGAACATCGCTCGTCGCGCGGGGCACCCCACGTGCCATTCCATTGGCCGGGGCCGTGTCTTCACCGCCGCCCGATTGGCCGGGGGTAAGCGGCACGTGTTCGTCACGCCGCCGCCGCTCCGGAAGCGACGGCACCTTTTTTCCGGCTCCGGAATACGAACGGACGCCGATGCGCCGGGATGCGGAGCGACGATACGCCGAAGGAGGAAAAAGAGAGGAGGAGGATATAAGGGTGTGAAGGAGAGGGTCGATAGCGGTAAGGGGTGAGGGATTGGGCGAAGCGTATCGTATAGCTGAAACGAGGTAAACCAAGTGTTGGAGTTCTGCTCCTTTTAATTAATAGGTCATAATTAAAATGTAAGATAGAGGGAAGACCAAATTTATAGATATATATTTATGTTAAGGCTAAAATAGATACTTGACTAGTGTTAAAACTAACCAGCAATTTTACAAACTATCCTTGCAAAATAGCGGACAACTTGCAGCTAGTTTACAATATAACTAATGATTATGCAAACTATCTACAAAATCTGATTAATAGCCCAGTCAAATTAGACAAATCGGTGGAAAAAAATTCCACAGTTTTGAAAATGGTTTTAATTAATTGATTCCTCTATATAGACTTGGGCTGATATGTGTCAGAAGTCCCCGAAGATAGACGATGAGGAGCTAGAGGGGGGTTAAATGTCGCTTTTATGACTTTTTAGCTTATATCTTGGAATATATGACACCAACAAAAATATACCCTATATAGAAAATTGAAGCTCAGAAAATTCTCTACAAAATTAGTTGAAGGCATTGGGTTTACTAAATTAACACTATTTCTCATATAGCATTTTCTCATTAAAATCCAATTAAAGTCTAAATTTAACCTTTTATATTAATAATGGTAATACTAAGGTGTCCTTATGTTATCTCTCAAGTCTTCATTGCATCCTGACTTTTTGTCTTCCATTGGAGAGCACTAATGCACACATGACTTAACAATAACTGAAAGTTAAAGATTAATGCATGCCTGACTTACAGTAAAAAAAATATACCCAAGTATTTGGCGCAGCTGCAAATATTGCAGAAAGTATACGAAAACCAAGAATGTTGTTCAAGAATGGGTTCATGATTACTCAGAGTTGGAGATTTCTATCCCCGCCTGCAGTGGATTTTTGCACTGTTATAAGCAACACGAAGCATTTGAGGCATTAGCATTAGAGGTCTGATTCCCTGAGGTTGTATATTGTGTGATATGATAGGAAATCTACATGATTCCTTCGTGTAGGTACCTACAGTTGACGAAAGTGCTAAATTTACGTATTTGCAATGCCAATCCATTTCACCAATAACAGTATCAGTCTTCCTTCGCAGAATTTTAAAAACGATGAGCATATGAAAGTGTGATTTCTGAAACTTCTCAACCTACAATCTATTCCACGTACATAACAATTTATTTCATCTAAGAAGTCATGAGGACCCAGATACCTCATGACTGACCATACTTTAAAATTATCTATAGTATGCCATATTCTCAATTTTATACAAGTAATTTGTATTCAATAAAAAATGTTTCTAATTCACTATTTTTTAATTTAGTAGGTCTTTCAACTTCTTTTTTAATCTTGTACATTATTGTATAATATATTATGATTTAATAATTAATTATGAATTTAAATTACAAAAAATCTATGTTATTCAAAATAAGAAGCTTTAATTTTCATTAGGTTCTTAGGCTTAGAATTAAGATTTTTGAATTAAATAATTTTATAAAGGCATTTCGTATTTCCGACACAAAAATTAATTTAAAAACATTAATAATTCCCTATTTATTATATTCCCGATTTATAAATGTATTATTATTTATTTTTATTCTTTTATATATTATGTACATAATGTTGGTTTTGATTCTTGTAATTACCCAGGAATATAAAGCAAAATAAATGAACAGAAAATATTATTTACGCGTTAACAAATAACTTTCGCAATCAAGGAGTGGTCTATGTGAACACATCACGTCTATAATTTATAA